TTTTCTTGCTACAAGCAGGTTAAGGTAACTGGGTGGATGCCTGATACACACTCTGTGCCTACACAGAACGCGGGGCCCAGAACAGTTTGTTAACGTGTCTGGCGATGGAGTGGAAATCCTCCCTTCACATCTCCATGAAGCTCTCATAGAGGAACTCTTTGATCCTTCTGACAAGGTTCTGCCATATTCCATTCTCCACAGTAAGACACATTCTCATGCCAAGCCAGCAGTAAGTGGTCTGGAGTAATTAAAGCACAAAGCACTGCAGGATAAGGTTCAAGTTTCTGGCCACATTCGGTCAGCATCGGCTCGCTATCACTCTGTGTGATTCAGAGAAGGCTCATCTCTCACATGGTAACCTGGATGAAGGAGGGGAAGCTATTATCTGCTGCCAACCTCCATTTGTCTATCCCCAGGGAAGCATGGCTTCAGCCTCTGGCATCTCCTTCCTTCCTTCCATCCATCCACCCTCCCGCCTACAGGCTCCTGCGGAATGGGAAAGTAGTACTCCCCCAGGAAGTGGGGTGTGCTGGACACAAACAGAAGCCATGCTGAGTGTCCGTCCTGCTCCACGCCAGCAAAACTGGACCCTATCTTCCTCCTGCCCACAGGTTCGTTGCCTGGCAGGACCCTTAACCATGCCTGCCTCCAAACTGTATGAGTCGAGATGTTCCATTGAGATTAGGCTTGTAAACAAGTAGTTGCCTAGATGATTAACCGATAAACCTAGGCTTATTGGTTAATCTTGTCAACTACAGGTGCCAGTGCTGGGGGAAGCTAGCTGCCCCCCTCCCCGCAGTGCTTCTATTAGAGGCAGCAGAGGAGAGGCAAGGCTGCTGCAAAAGCAGCTCCTCTTAGCGTGGGGTCCGAGCTCTCCACAGGCAGTGACTATTCCACATCTCCTGAAGCAGCCTCTGTCCATGGCAAGCTTGGGCCCGCCCCAGACAGAGGCTGCTTTGTGGTAGCAGCTCCTCATTAAGGGGGAGTCTGAGCTCCCCATGGGGGCTCCTGCCACCCCACGCTGCTGCCTCTGTATCAGTAAGGGGAGTTGCATTTTTAAACTGGCTCCCCTTGTGGGCCAGCTGCCCCTGCCCCACTGTTCTTTTTAAACTGGCTCCCCTTGTGGGCCAGCTGCCCCTGCCACCCTGTGCTGCTGCCTCTGATACACAGGCAGCAATGCGGGGTGGCAGAGGATTCACTGGGAGTGGGGCTGGGATCGTGGCTGGGGGCGCACTGGCTGCCACCCCTGCCCCAGGGACTATTAAATAGTCGCATTACCGCAAAGATTTCATACAGTTACGTAACTATTCAATTACCCAATAGCTAACATCCCTGTTGAGAACTCTATTGCATGTGTGCTGTACAGTCCCCAGCTGACCCCGGGCTCCACAGCACCTGTCCTTTTGAAATGCCGCCTCCCCATAGCAGCAGAACCCGAGGTCAGCTGGGGAGTCCCCAACTGACCCCGGGCTCCACTACTGCCCCCTTTGAAACGTGGAGGTAGCGTTTTAAAGAGGCAGTGGCTATCCCTTTGAAATGCCACCTTGGGGCTGCCACTTTGAAGTACCCCTTCCTCCTCGCCTTTGCTGCCTCTATCTCAGGGGCAGCAAGGGGGGGGGG